TTTGGGAATTCTCTACACCTAATGGCGTTCCAGATTGGCTCTAGAAGTTCCTGGCAGGTTTCTTTATAAGATAACTCTTCCATTTGGAAGTCCTGCTTTTCATTTATCACCTATGGTGGACATTACTCTCTTGTGATGTTATCCAGTCTTATACTCGATGATGAATGACTGCAACACACCTGCTAGTTGATTGTGAACGACATGCCTGCGACTGTGAGATTTATGGATAGTTGAATACTTGAATAGGCTGCTTTAACGAAAAATTCTGAGATTACCATCACACATCTCACTTAGCTGGTGTATTTCTCGACCAAAAAAATTTTTCATTTAAAAATCGAAAAAGCCCATGTCTTTATAACTCTTCAGAGGGATTTTGTATTCCCGAAAGAAGGGTCTGCCATATTACCACTAATGTTTTCCGTTACCTAGCACTTTCTAGCCTTGGGTAGATCTTAACTGAGCTTGCAGATAAAATGCCAAGCTCCTCATATCCTGAAGCAGTCGGTATTTCGTTAACTAGTATAAAAAAAAGCTCTCGATGTTGATTAATCCCTGAGAGATGTGCAATGCATTCGACTTCATTATCCGGCCTTTACAATGACTCACGGTGGCCTAGCGATGTATCAAGCCAGTGTTGCTATCCTTTCAGACAAGTCGGCTACCAATTTACCGACTCCGGAGGGATGGAAGGCTTGGTGGGCCATGTGCTCAGGGATGGATTCTACGTGTGTGTTGCAGCCGCCTCCGACCACTGCGCCATACTTGCCTTCAGCTAGCATACGAGGGATATTTCTGAGATAAAAATAATATATCTTTTGGATGATTCTGCGTTATGCTTCTTGCATTCGATTCGTTTCCTCGCATCTATCGTCAACGAAAGAAAGCCTTCGAACATTTCGTGTGTGGGTTCAGTTGCTATTCAAGGACTTTCGTTTATTTTAGGAATGTCGTTGAATGGTGTTCTAGCTAGTACTCGCTGAAGTGCAGAGATGGTCGGGCTAGGGTGTTTCCAGGTATATTGGAGGAGTAAACCATTCCCTGACAAGTCTGGTACCACATTCCCGACTCCGGAGCCATGGCAGGCATGCTGAGCGCGAGAGGAAGTCGAACAAATACCGTGTTTGTGGTAAGCGACAGCACCAACAATGCGCTACCCACTCCCTATTCAATCTATAAATAATTTTTTAAATTTTTTTATTTTTATTCGACACGTCATCACATCTACTGTGTGGATCCCGGCTCTTCTCACATTCAATCCGTTCCCTCGCGTCCATCATCCACGAGGATCTTCCAACTTTACGAGTGGACTCGGTTGTTGCTTGAGGTTTTCCATTTCATCTTGAATGTCGTAAAATGCTGGTCGAGCAATTCTGCCTGGAGTCCTGAGATAGCCAGGTTGGAGCGTTCCCAATTAGATCGCAGAGAGTGGTTTTTCCCAGACGAATCCGGTACAAATCTCTCGACCCCGGAAGAATGAGAAGCTTGGATGGCCCTGAGCGGAATCGAACTAGCAACATGCTCGTGATGATGGGCATCGCTACCACTGTGCTGTCCGCTCCCTTATGAAGAAATATTTAAGTTAATTCCTAAGTTTTCAATGGATGAAAAATATTAGACATAGAAATGAATGCTAAGTATTTTACATCCAAATAAATATTGAATATTAAGCATTAAATAAATAAAATATTTGAAATTTCCAGGAATATTCACATTTAGCTGTTTTTGTTTGAAACGCTTTGTCCATGGTAAGAACTAACCCTACATTAAGTCGTAATCAGTGCAAAGTTTCGGAAAAAATTCCGGAAATCTATATTCAGCTCGAATTTTTTTGGTAATACTGATGAAGCCAACACTGCTAAACGCGGAAGATGAAGCTTTTCATACCTTCGGGGTTGGCCAATTGATATCAAACTTATCAAGGAGGACAAAGACACTGATTTGCTATATCGGTAGAGCATCGCTCGTACCTGTATAGGGCAAATTTGCAATCACTCACTTCTACGATGCTTAATAGAGTAGAGTGCCCTACGCATCCCAAATGGATTGATAAACACTGAACGCTCTATACTTTAGCCTTTATTGATTACAATGCTGGTGCATTACCCTTGGATTTTTTCTCTGACACCTGTTTTACAATGACTTTATGTAGCTCAAGGCAAGAAAAATGTGATGATTTGTTTCACGAGTTCAAAATTCGACACACATCAACAGAAGCAACAGAGTGTTACTACAGTATGAATCTAGTGAAGTTTCTAGGTGGCAGAGTGCACAAGGTTTTCGAAAGCTTTCAAGAAAGATGTGTCTTCATGCCCAAGGAGATTTTCGCCGCCCAGAAACAACTGGGTGGTCCGACGACTTAATTTCTCGTTACTCTCGAGAAAAGACTGGAAATACAGGACACTTCTAAAAATTCAGAACTGGTGAAATTGCTTTTTTCTGGTTGGGTACAAGTGAAATATTCCTTGTTTTATTTTTTTGTAAATAATGTTTGAGGACTCTATGCTTACTCTTACTTGCTGTCTTCTTTCTACTACTGATTTCTTCGATTTAGGTAAAGTTAACCATTTTTTCGGTAACGTCTACTAAAGGTTCTGTGAAGTTGACAAGTTATAATATAGCTTAGCCTGCTTGATATTGGATAATGAATTCGTTAACTGCTTTGAGTCAAAAACATTGTCTACCTTGCTAGCAGTAGCGGCAGCACCGATCTTGTTTTCCATTCATACAACTTGTCTTTTGAAATCGCGGAGAATTGTGTGGACCTCGCCACAATTTCTAGTTGACTATTAATTTGTTGGTTATGGTGGATTTTCTTTTGCTGAAGTTTCGAAGCCATACTGACTCTTTGGCTTTTCTTTTCAGGATTAGAGTGATGTCGACATTTGTTTACTCCTAGATGGGTCTCCGAATGAAATTTTTCGAAACGTTAGTTAATCCTTTTGTTTTTGGGAGATTAACCTCTTTGTACGTAACAATTCGACGCGTATGAACAGCATCTAGTCAGGTGAGGCGGCTAACCAAAGGAGGGGTTAAAAATCAACGTAGAGAAATAGCATGATCATAGAAATAAAGGTGGTGAAAACATAGCGATAAAGAGAAGGAGACAATTTTCAGATAATAAACCAATGTTCTTACCCACTAATTTTTTCCTTTATTATTATATTATGATTCTGGCTATTGAAACGACGACAGCACGCTTCCATTCCTCCTTGGCTGAGCTCTTATCCCGTTCAGACGTTTCTTCTCGATGTTTGCTCTTTTTTTGCGAGCGGTTTTAGTTGTTCGCCATGGAGAACAGCGTTCCATTGATCGCGGATGCAAGGCATCGAGCGTCTCGTTGACAGTGGTGTCGCTGATCCCGAACCACTCTAGTCCTCGAGAACTACTCTACTCTTTCCCTTGTTTTCCACGCCCATAAATTGCTCTGCGTCTCGCCGCAATTATGTAACCATTGCACATCTTTTTATAGCGGGAACGAGTGATGCACGCAAGTCTTAGCATGAATGCGAAAATTTTCGGCATTATAGTAAGCTACTAGTCGTGCGTTCGATTTGCATACGCTCTCTATCGGAATGTGCAGACATACACATGTCAGCAACTGAATGAGCGAAGAAACAACGGTGGGATCGAGCGCATACGCCATAGTGATCGCAGGATTTGGCTGTGCTATGTTCGATGGGGCGGGCATAGCACTTTGAAGCAGCCGCGGCAACGGCGGCGGCGGCAGAAATCACGTTCGCGCGCGATTCGCTCGAAAACTGGTCGGCTTGGACGAAGGCGCTGCGCACAATGCGCCCGCAAGGACGTCGTCGCGTCGTCGTCACGGTCGCCACTCATCACAACAACGGAGGGCGTGAAGGCGAACTGCTCATGCAACTCATGACAACCACCCAACGGGCTAGAGTCTCTCACTTCGTCCCGGTCCCGTCAGGGAGGCACGCACGCAGACCGCCAGGCAGGCGTACTGCATTCTCCGAGTTGGCATGCGGTCAGGCCTCGCTAAGAGGGCAGGGTTGATGCATGCCGTTTTCTAGGAACGTACATAGACGTAAGAAAAACGTATACGGTAGGACAATACGAAATACCATTGATAGTGTGGCACGCCATCAACGTTTTGTTATCTTAAAGAACAATGGAAGTAAACAAGTGTTCCTTGTCACGAGCAACTGCAGAAAACGCCGCTAGAAATCGAGATGCTAGTGCCAACGCAATTGAAGCGAGAGCATATAGATGGAAACATAATTCTAGATATAGCGCATGATTTGTTTCATAGGATATATGCTAAGAGAAACTCAGAAACCCTTCATTGTTTATGCGGCATTTATCACGCTCGCAAAAAATCGATGAACAGCAAGCTGTGGGACCTAAAGGAAGAAGCACATAAATATGAACGTGTTAGAAATACCTACATAGAACGTTTTCTTATTTAACAAGTGAAATATTGAACCACCGTAATACCTTTAAGGGACGAGGAAACTTTCATTAGCATGTGTTTTATGTCAATTTACAAGTTACTTACTTTTCCATACCAACTGAGGGAGCCACTAGGAATATGCTAATGAGTATCATTGAACATGTTCGCACACTCTTTTCTAGTTACTGTACTTCATGACACATTCTTAGGTAAGAAAGGACGTGTTGAACAATTTGGCAGAAATTACATACACTTTCCTAGACTTCCATGTGATTGGGTGCTCTCCCTCTTTACAAGCTCTCATTAAAAACACAATGTTGTTGTAGGATGATGATGCTCTATATCTTAAAAAATAAGTCACAGGTACCTCGGAAACCTCGAAGGTCTTCCGATTTCAGAAACATAGCCGCCCACGCCTGTTATCGCTTCATTAGCAACAATTTGTTCCATTATTCATTTGTTTCTACACCAGTGAAAAAGTGAGAGTGTTGTTACCAGCTGCAGTAGAAGAATGGACGGCAGTGTGTTCTACGTTCTAGCGTAACTACGCGATCTCTCGTCGCACAAACAACGCAATGCACCTCACTCACTCCATAGCGCTGCATCCCAGCCCACCCCACAGCACGTTCTCTTTTTGCGATTTGGAGGCGATAGTGCGAGATTTTCGAACCGCACACGTCTGTGGGCCTGCTCCCACCTCCCGCTCTTCGCGTTCATGCGCTCTAAGGCTGCTGTCCGCCTCGGTTTCGTGCAAGCCCGCACACACTCGCCTACCCGACCACCCGGCTGCCGTCTCGACCACCCACAGCTCCCTCTTCCTGCACGTGTGCCTCCCACCTCCAGCCACGTTGCGCTCTCTTCGCAGCGTGTTCGCGCGTTTCTTGTGCAGTTGGTCGTCTATCCACGCTGGCGTCCGCCGGTCCCACATCCCTCCATACTGCATACAACTTCAATTACATACAAGCATTCCTTAACAACGTAAGTACAACTGTCTATTAAGTTCTTCGAAGCCATTCTTCGTAGTTGCTTGATTTTTTCCGATCTTCGATCATCATAGGCGTGCGCTTAAACTTGTTTTTCTCTGTCGGTCCAGAATACCATGTGTATGCAGTAAGTTTAATAAGTAAACGTAATAATGCCCATAGAGTGCCTTAAGTTGGCTCGTTCTTCCTCTGTACAAAGAATACGGGTGGCGTGGCTCTTCGTTTTTCTGAAGGACACTGTCTTTGAATGCATGTTGAGGTGACGTGTTTCTAAACATAAACATTGTCGGCAACGAACAGAATCAGTCACTAAAACACTCATCAATGTTCGCCACGTCTGCAGATATATTGCGGAGACTTTTCGCGGTTTGTTTTAATCACATTTTTTATTATAAGAAGCCACAGAACGCCATCCTGTGACAGGAAAACCAAACCGGAATGTTGTGTACTTGTGTTCTTTGAACCGTTATGTGCATGCTTCAAGGTTTCTTTTACAAGTCAAACGTACCGGTCCATCATGGTGGTAACAGAGGATGGAATGGAGAATTAAAACTCACCGTGGTCATCACATTTCCCATTAGTGCTTTTTGTATGTGAATGATGCTTTTCTATAAATGTGTATGTATGAGCACACAGCGATAAAGATAGCTAGTTGTTTCGTAGAGTGATGTCGCATGTTCGTATAGATTTTTGTGCATGTGTGTATGTCGAAGGAACAACTCGCGTGATAGCATTGGAAAACTAGAACTCGTGTGCTATTGCCTACGGAATTAGCCTCCGTTTGCTTGTACAACATCATCCTCGGATGTGACATACATTTCCAGCAGCTTCAAAGGTGTAGAAAATACAATCCAGTGTGTTGTATCGTATTTAATAAGGAACTTAAACTCCATGGAAAACCACGAGAAATCTGGGATTTTATGGAGCAATGAGGATTGCCTTCAGTTAGGGCAATTTTACATCACGACTTATTAGATATATAGATAACCTTGCTCTGGGGAACATGAAAGGCGCGTGGAGGGTTTGGCAATGATTTGGTAAAATCGCATACAACAGTCTCAGGAGAGAAACTGGTCAAAATAGTATTAGTAACACAAATCCACTAATCAAATCCTTATTGTCTTCGCAGACGTAACGTTTGAGAACATTTAATCCCATTTTGGTCGACTTCCCATGCAAAACCATATGGTTCTTGTGTGAATAAAACTATTAACAAGATGTAGCGCTTAGTATCTCGATGTTTCATCCCCTACTAAAAACGATGTTCTCTTTCACATGTTGTGTTTTTCTAATATTTCAATTCGAATGTTCGACAACTTGATTTCTGATCGTTTTAGTTACAACAGCACAATGGAGTAGATGGAAATTGGAGACCGGCCGACGGGGATGCGTCGTCAAATGGCGCCCCCGCCGCATGTTCTGAATGCAAACTACTCAGGCAGTAAGTCTATACTAGTCACTTGATTCGTTTTGCTTTTCCTTCCTTCACTGTTCATCATTTGCTTTTTTTTCTCTGAAATGTTTTCGTCTGGAACGTGAAACGTGGCCGCCAGCATGCGCGCAGTTTTCGTGGCTAACGGCGCGTTTCGGCTCGCTCATTGTTCGTCGCCGTTTCGTTCTGAGTGGGCGAAGATCGTTGTCGCTCGCGCTAGCTCCTTCTACGTTCAGCTGCCGTATCTCGTTTCGTCCGTCGTGTTTGCGGCCCGACAAAGTGTGCGCGTTCAAAAACAACCGATTCCCAAGGTCGGCTACGTGAGAATGGGTCCCGACGAAGTGAATATGATTCTGGATTTCTTGCATGCATATTCGATCCTTCATAAACAATTCCCTTAGTGTGCACCCCTTATTTGTGGCGAACTTCAACGCGATGGATGAGTTTCGATTGGAAGTTCCGAACAGCTGAGGCACATTTTATCGAATATTATCAGAATTCGGCTGAAAACTCATGAGAACATTGAAACAACTGCTGTTATTGAGAAAGTAGAATTTCACTATGTTCATGGGAAATCTGAAGAAAAACTTGAAAAAAAAGCTGGAACAGATTATTGACAACAACGTTCCACATGCAGCTATTAGTCTTCACGAAAAGAACATCGTTATCGTCTAGTGCACATATTTCACAGGTAAATGTTACATGATTATTCGAATACCGCTTTCAATTCCTGACACATCGATTTCTTCAAACGCTTTCGTTGAACACGGTTCCTCCTCGTTGGGTCCTTCTTAGCTCTAAAACCTCTGAATTTCACCGATCTCTCCTCGTTATTTCCTTCCCATCTCTTTTCTGTTGGTCCTGTGTTTCGTCTGTCTATCTCAGTTGCTTTCTCTATTCACTGCGCGCGGACGTTTGAGCCACCGTTCAGGGATGCTCACTACGATAAGCGAGCGAGTGGTTGGTTCTACGGTGAGGTCGGTGGTATTTTACCCATCTCTCTAACGATCGATAAGTTTCTATGATTATGTCTTCAAAAAAGGGTAATCGGTACAAAGTGCTGGCTGTTGCAGGAATCATCATAAAAGTTGCAAAGGAAAACTATTGCGATCGGTTTCGTCACCGATAGCTTCCGTTTATGCCAGAAAATCGACCTGAAATGAAAAATAGCAATAGAAATTGCTAGAATGATAGCACGAACGTGCAAATGGTAAAGGGTGTGACCCAATGAAAGAATGAATGCTCGAATCACAACCAGCTGACCATGACGATGATGATTTGCTGAATGTTTCCGAATATTTGCCAGCTGACAACAACAACTGCATGGCGATGTTATGACGGCGCGATAATTGAATTCGAAAATATAACGGCATATAAGGCGCAGTCAGCGCAAATGTCCATCACCATATTTGCTATGGAAACACCACAAACATTAAGCATTCGTCGATGAATAAGCCGTAAACCGTTGCGATTTGGGTTTCGCTGTCGCATTGCAATATTTCTGTTCATCAGGATCACTTAGAGTGGAACTCGAAGAACTGTCCCTTAGTAACTTCTAGCAGGAAATCAATTTCTGTTGCCATATATGGACGTGATTGCAGCTTCAGAGTTGAAAAAAAATTTTTGGTCATTAGAAATTCATTTGGCGGAATGGTACGCTCCGTAAAGTTTCTGTCAAGGGTCACCTACGTATCATGCATCACTTAAATGATGTCTTAACTACTAGCCTATTTTTCTTTGCTGGATACTGCTTGCCAATGGTGACGATTTCTTTCAAAGAAAGAATAAACGTCTGGATGATATATGTTAAATTACTATGGGTTGTTCGATCTTATGCATAGGAATTCAACTGAGAACTGATGGTTTTGGTCGACTGGCACATGAACAATGAAATTTTACGATGTCTCCTCGCGACGGAAGCATTCGTCAAAATGCCACAAAGCCGCGATAGCCGGTGGAACAACAACTAAAGCATCAGACTTCACTGCGTTGACTTGCTGGGATAGCTTAATGCAAAGGAGCAACTCAAAGAGAGCTCTGCTTCATCCATATGTTCTTGCATCCCGTAACTGCTAGCACTATAACATTAACATCGGCATGTTTAATAAATGCATTCTTGCTAGGGATAAGAGCACACTGATATTGATGCATTCAAGGCTTCTAGCCGTCGATAAATGGTAGCCGTAAAGTTTCAAATTAAGTAAAACTGCTTTTTACAATTCCAAAGTAACAAGTAGTGTTTCTGAATCAATTCTTTACTATTTTGGCGTGACTCTCATGGAAACACTTTTTCAATTAAATTGATTCATTGGATACTTCACTGTTAAAACAACATGTAATCAGCTCAGTATTGTCAGAAATAGAAATAAAATGTTGGCGGATTCACATCCTTTTGATTGGACTACTCTATAAGTATAGAATTTGAAACAGCAGAACATGTTCTTAGACGTTCACAATGACAAAATCGAAGCATGATATCCATCATGTGTATTTTTTCATATACGGACACTTATATATTTGTATATTTGTTATCTCCTCCAATAATGAAGACTCGAGTGGTTGCCTTAGACACTGGATTGTAGGCTCCTGACCTAACGTTCAGGATGGAATCAGCAAGCACTCAAGCACGTATTCGTACGGAAACATGAATGCGATAAACCATATGCGGAAAGGTCAGTCCTCTTCGGGTAATACAGGAGCTCATCGCTTCCGTCTAGCTGCGTCTTAGAAAGAGTTTATGATAGGTTTACGTTTACCCACTTACTCACCATATGTCACGCAGCGCGTAGCATTATGTTTAATTGGCTTGAGATCATTCACACGTCGGACATCCGTGAAGGATATTCATGTGATGCTATATGAATCACATTCACATTTTCTTATTAGCATGGACATCGTCTTTCTAGGTGATATGTGTGAATTCTGCGATAAATGACTGTAGAACGGTGTGCATCAGCTTCGTCAGTTTGGATGTAATTTCCTGTAGTGCAAATCGAGTTGAGGATATGGAGCGTCAGTGAAATAGAGCTGAACTGCACAGCCATCGTTGAAAGACATCATCGAAATTACGCCGCCTTTTTAATCAAGAGCGAGTTCAGGCTCAATATTGCCCTGTTTAATGAATTTGAACGAGAATTTTCAATAGCTACGAGAACACGTTTACGACTGCATTTATTGTATAGGGCACAAATGTGATCGTTTCTGGCTGTATTTGACTCGAAATATTATTCTATCGGTCTTGCTATGATGCACTCAGAAAATTGTAAGACTTACGCAGTTTTACTTACAGAATAAACTTATGGAATGAAGTAACGATATCCAGCTTGAATGAAAAGAAAAGTACTAGACGGTAAAGTTGCTAGTTCGATAACTCATGGGTACAGCAACGTTTGGGTTCCTTCTATTTAGTTTCTATTTTTTCTTAATTTCTTGATCTCCATTTAATTTTATAAGTTTAGCAAATCGAGGGTTTTCTGTCTACTACTGTTTCGCGCCATTTATTTAACTAAACTGTTTCGTTCAACAAACAGCTAAAGAGTTTATTATTCGCTAATCCACATTAGATGTCGGCGCTAATCGGAAAACAAGTGATGTACTGTACAAAGTATTCGACAGATCTTGTTTATTATTCTGGCTCCCATAAAGAATCCTTCACCTATGAGGTCAAGTGGCAGCATCATTCCCAAGTTTTTCAGACCTCTTACCAATATGGCTTCCCGAAACCGGCTCTATATCCAACAAATAGGTCTGAGTAAACTGTGGCGTACATCATTCTCCGAAGTTAAGCCACGTTCCTCACGCAGTTGTTCGTCTTCTCATGCTCATCGTGTGATCACAAACGATTCCAATTGCTGTGTGTTACACCTATTTTTCGACATAAGTCGCTCATACTCTGTCTTATAAATCGGGCCTCCTCTGCACCGCATTTCCTCTTCATGGCTGATTGTCGCCTCGTTTTCTGGTGTTACAGCAACCATGTGTTCCTCACTCATGTACACATCGTCCTTGCGCGCAGTTTTGCTACGCTTTCTCTTCACTTCCCATCCACTTCGAAAACGACGCAGAGCTTGATAACAGCGCCGAACAGACATTTTGCTTTTGAGCTCATCTTGGTTGAGAATAACCAGCTTATCCTATGAGTTCGGTGAACAGGGAATGTTAATGAGAGACACGAGTATCAGACTACTTTGATCCCAATAAAACATAATTCCGGCAATAGTTCACTGAAAATATCCGATTAAGGTTTCAAGTCGAACTTTCTATTGTTGCTATCTTTCAGATTATCGCAATCCGCCAAGAGTGGGAATTCTGAGAGAAAAATTAACATTTATTAGTTATAGAAATTCATTTTAATTTTCTTTTGTTTCAGCGAAGTTCAACAACTGAAATCTTGCATCCAAACGATTTTTCTGGTCCTTTCGCAGAATGGTGTTGTTGGTGCGACGTCACCGGTTCTTAGCGCACTATCACAGGCGCCAGCTTTGGCACCTTTGATAGCACCGCCACTTCACCCAGGCCCTGCTCGTAAACGTCCAGCACCAGCACCGCCAGCACAGCCTGAGTGCCCTGTTGCGTTGCGTCCGATTGCTTCATGTAAGTAGCGTTTGTTATAAAATGTTTTCTTGTGAGCAAAGAAAGTGTGCCTATACTGTTTCAAAAACCAACTTTCCCTTCGCTTCAACGTTGCTGATCAGCATGTATTCTTCCATTTATAAGTCAAAACGTGGTTGATAAAAAGAGGTTTTTTATAAAAGCAAATAAAAAATAATGTTAGCTTCTTACCTACTAACTATCAAAATTTTTCATGACAGTCTATTTGAAAAACAACAACAGTGGTGCTGAGATATTTGCAAAACTCCGAACCGCAACTGTCTGCGGTGGGAATGGAACATGCTATTACTCTTTCCAGGCGTTAACGCATTCACTCCACACCATGCTGCTCCTTCATTTCGCATTGTTCTCAGCTAGTTTTCTGTCTACCAGTTCCACCAGCAATCACCCGTCAACGAGATTGATCTAGAGAGTAAAAACTGGCATTAAACCCAGTTAAGTTGTGGGTGTAGTCGAAATCATAATGTTGACTTTTTATTTAGTGCCTGTTACAATTTTTCACGGCAGGGTATTAGGTGAAATGCAACCATAATGGTGCTAAGATAATTGCAAGACTGCGGACGGCAGGGGTCTGCGGTGGAGACCGTACACGCTATTAAATAAAAAATAATTGAAAATAGGGAGAATAAGAAAAAATCAGTGAATTTTTTTTACCAGCCTCGTGCTGCCTTATCAGTGAATGATACACGTGTCTACACAGTTTTGCTGAAAACGGCACATTAACCTTCAGCTCACCCTACTGTTGTAGAACACCTGAAAAGCACCTGTAATTCTTTTTTGTGTAATTTCTAGCTCCAATATGTTATATTCTGTATCTGCATATTACAGCAGTACAATAGAGCCAATAGCTTCCTTCGTTTTTTTTCTGTAGGAAAAGAATAATTGTTGAACGAGTGTTATTAGTTGAAAAGCTTTCAGGTCCAACCTTGCCGGCTCAGTTTATGCCTCATTGGACTTGGCTAATGCCGGGTTTGATGCGGCCACCATCACCCACATTGCCTGCACCCACTTCACTCGAGACAACTAACACGGCCCCGCAGGAACATGAGCAGGCAAAATGGAGCAGTCCTTCCAGCGTGGAAAGTAATGGGTTAAAGACTGACAGCACTGCTGGTACGCATTCTAAGATCCATTAGAGAATAATCCATAGCGTCTGAACTAATAACTAGCTAGGATTGAATGTTATCGAATTTTTTTATTGATTCCGACAGCCACGCTAATAAAAATAAGTGATGATGACACTTAACTTAATAGCACAGCTTTAACGAGTTTGCTACACTTGATTTTTTATGTTTTCCTTAACAATAATTCAGTCAGACTTTGTTCGATGTAATTTCCTGTTACATCTAACTCCTTTGTGGACTTTTCACCTATATTCATATTTTTAGTAGTATTTCTGCATTGGTGATTTTTCTTTCTGTGTGGAATTATTCGTGGGGAATAATGCCACATACTTGCGCCTAGGTAGGCCGTGCTGTACTAGGGCCATCTCGAATGCGATGAAAACATAGTCTTGTGATACAAGAAAGCTTATGAATTGAAACGTTGAATTTGTAGGCGAGTCTGGTAATATTGATATCGTAGGAATGGATGGCAGCGAATCGTCCACCTCTTCGACATCGACTCAGGTTTATCACTGTTTTTTTTTTTATTTAGTAAACTTTATATCAGTGTACTAGGTATATTTCGACGAGTTGACATCACCAATTGTCAATTCAGACTGCTTTTGTCTTTTTAGATTTATTAAAGAAGTACTAATATGGTCGAAATATTTCGTGCGTTTTTAGTCCTACTGTCGATAATGATTCTATTGATTTTGCATACCTTTACTTAACAAAGTCTTTATTCTCTTTAATCGAATTTTTCCATAGGAAAATTACTACTAACATCATACACTACGCCATCCTTTCTTTAACAAGCAAGTGATTTGGAAGTTTGTTGAGAATGGGAGAGGAATAGTAAAAATATTATCTACGAGTAGTCAGATTGCATGCAGACATTTGGTGGGTCACTTTGTTTCCGTTTATGGTCATCTACATTTAGGCAATGATTACCTCACCTTCGTATCAATCAAACATATCGATATGCTTGAAAGATCAGCAAAACCCGATTTTTCCAATTCCACAAAAATCTGCAGATTTGTCGCAGCCGTCATTCATTTATGGTGTAGCGAAAGTAAGTATTTCAGTCGTACTCGTATTCATGCGGTATTTATTGGGACACTTTCGTTTATTGCTTAACTATGAAGTCTTAGTTTTTAATTATTAATAACGCTTCAACTTTTTGCTCTATTCATCCTTGATAGTTGTTTATGGATCCATTTCCGCACTGCTGTGTGACATCGTCATCATTTTCTGGCCTACCAATTCATTCGGAACGTGTTTAAACAGTTACTTTTCGAAAATGAAAGAAGAGAGAAATTGTTTCTTTGCTCTCTATCTACTCTTAACGTTACTGCATTCATACCTACTGGATAACCCTGCTTCATTCTGCCTTCGTGACATCTGGGCACTCAAAAGGTCCGTTAAGTTTGGAAGAATTGCAAATTCCAGAGGACCTCTTTGCTATTGAAAGATCCTCACCTTGCTTGCTTTCTCCTGCTCGGTCTTCTCTCCACATATGTCCTTCGTAGTGTAGACCTTTCAGCCTAATTACATGTACCTAAAACTTTGGTGGATGTTTGATTAATTGAGTATGGACGTTGTTGTGGAAACGAGCCCTTTTTCAAAAAAATCGTTTTCATGAACTTTGTTCGAGGGTTAAACTTCTCTAAACATTCTATGAAGGTTACCCAGCTTTTTCTTTTTAGCTAATGGTAGATTTTATGACAACGACATAATTAACAAAATGGTGCAGCTGCCGGCCATCAACTTTCACTCTCATGCAGCACATTCCTGTTTTCGCATGACGTTCTTTAGAGCGTCGTGGAAGCTCAAGGGATTCTGGGCGCAAAATGCATTAAATATTCTTCATAAATGTACAGAAGCTTAATTTCTACGCCCCACAACAACCTTTTAATCAGAATAAAAAGGGTGGTTCAGCAGGGTAACGCCACATCACTGAAATCCTTTACCGAGTGTTTTGTGCCTGTCGCGTGCTTCATCTTTTTTTGTCATACAGCTATGATCTGCTGCACAGAATCCTTTTCAAAATATGGGCTACTTCTACGGCTTAACTCTCTATCGTCCACTCTCTTGTCAGTCTCGTTAAAGATGACTCGAGTGAAGAGCTTGCACACATCTTTCGGGTAGAATATACTGCCAGCGTCGTGCAAGTCTAGCATATAATGCGGAAACGAAACTCTGTTAGTATTCTATTGAATAGAAGGAATGCCGTACTGTCAGCTAGTGTGTGAAAACTCAAGCGATGGCTGTAGCAAAAGTAGTGGTAGTTTCCGTAGATGTTTAGACTCAGGTCTGATTTTATCGTAAACGAGTGCTTTAAGGCCTTTATTCATGAAATACCGGGGTGGACCTTCTATACGAGGCGAGTGCGGACGACACATCGGTCCTCTCATGGGTAGGAGAAGGACAACCACATGGTTATTTCTCGTTTGAAATGACAATAGCTGTCGTCTGTGGCTCACTCCGCTATCTTTCTGGATCTAATGACTCGTCGGCTATTTTAGGATTATAATGATGGTGATGCATGAACCAGCTTTATCACACATTAATAATGTCGGTAGCAATAACTTTTCTATACTCGGCTGAAGTCCTTAAGAATCTGGTCTTTATTGTAAAAAAAAATTTTGGACTTTCATTTTTGGACGTTGGGGCAACTTCCACTTTCTGCTAAAAAGTAATCTTGAGCAGAGGAGACAATGATCTGTTGCAATGCAAAATTTTGAGGAAATGGAGACGTTTTTTATGTTAAACTATATATCTGCTATGACTCCGCAAATTTCTTTGTGCTACTCTGCACTAGTTTCTGGAGCTATACGCTACAATTAGTGGTCTTGGTACTGTGGTCAAGATATGAACCTTCTTACAGCGAAATCAGTTGCTCAAAAGAGGATTGCATTTCTAGTGTACCTGGTTTATAATCATAGATCGGCCCTATCGTCCTATCGAACTTGGACATTTTGCAACACATTTACAATTTAACAAAATTCCCCACATAGTGCTCTTATTCTCTTATTCGACGCTACCGTATCGCAAGCTTTTTTAAGATCAGAGGTTAGAACACTTGTGTTTCCTTATTTTTAACATGAAATACACACGGCTAGTTCAGGGAACTTCTTCTGAGTAAATATGAATTGTTGTTGTTGTAGGCAGCTACAAATTACTTGATATTATCTTCTAGTCACTTCATTACAGGCTTTTGACTGAATCAATGTAAAGGACACAACACCCATTACCGTCAACAAACCCACGTACCCTTTATTATGTCTAGTTGCATAAAGCAATCATATTTAAATCTGGTGGTAGAACAAGGCGATAAAGGCCATCTTATTCAGCTATCTACCTGTGTCTCAGGGCAATTAGAAGGCCCGGCTTTAATCCTCTTTCCACCGGTAGGCGCCACGACTAACTAGCTGGAGATCAATGAACGATATCCACGGCTAAAATAATGTACCTTCATAGAACGACCCTTATGTTTATTTTTTTAGAGGTCTTTGTTTAAAGAAATATTTTTAGGGTGATCCACCATCGTCACGAAGTGCATCAATAGCTGCGTCACTACCCATCGGACATGGTCATTCGACTATGACTCCGGAACGCAAGCATAGGGTTACTTCGAAATCTAATAACAAAAACTGTTTTGTATTGTACATTATTAAGTTTCGAGTTTAGAAACAGCAGAATGATGACTATGTGAAGCTTATACGTGAGCAAGATCTCAGTGATGAAAGGATTAATGCAATACCGATACCTGTACCGCAGGCTTTAAGCCTCGATCCAAGTACGAGTTTTTCTCAAGAATTAATTGGAGTTCTCAAACATTATACCAGGTAGCGATGCGGCGCTATCGAATCACGTCTGGTATTTTCTAGAACTTTAGTAGCTTGCTCACATAGCAGTAACGATGGAAATGATTATTTCCAGCCTTTCGAGCGGTATCTGAGCAGCAAGTGGTACAGCAGGTGGTTCAAAATAAGCGATTTGATGAGGTGGATGTACGCGAGTCGATGACACATCTATGCAAAAAACTGGCAGAAAAACGTGTGTTCGGCTCAAAGTTGATGGCTGAGACCACTGTTGCAGGCCTCAATCATTCAACATTCCCGAATTTACCTATTGAAGGCATTATGTACATACAGCGTTAGTTTCTATATTAGTTTAGTTGAAATTTCGTCGACACTTTTCTTTTAATTAAGAAACGGCTCACTTTAGCTTCGAAGTTATAGATGTTTGCCGCAAAGTTTTGGGTGATCGTTTTTCGAGTGATGACGACTTCTGGGAAAGTTTGCGTGATTCAATGCGCAAACTTGCGGCTCGATGTCGTCGTGTGCGTCACGCCAAGAAGACAAAAAGCTCTCGCGAAGAAGGGCTGTCAGCTGGGGATCGTAATGTTGGGTGGCCTGACGGAAGTGTAGCGCAGACTCTACAGAGTCTTAGTCTGCCTGTAGAAAAACCAACACATTCTGTGCAGACGACTCCCATTACTTCCGAGCGAAACAAAAGTGTAGAAATCAACGAAACCAAGTTGGCTGAGACGCTTCAAAGCGGCCTCCATGCGCTTGCAAGTGCCTCACTATCTAATCAGGTGTGTGAAAAGTTCTGTACCACTTTATAATAGTTTTCAAACCGACTTTCATTAAACCTTGACGAAAATAACTAATACCTTCTTCGATTACTAGGCAAACACGAGGTTGAGAAAGAGATCGTTCTATCAATATCATGTTTGCTTAATAATCGAAGGGGGAATTTTTGTGTTTTTTCAAGCTCTCTTCAACAGCATTTCTTATTTAGGCGCTTCCAGCTACTTTGGCAAAAATGACATCCGCCTGGTCGCTGTTGCAACTACACAAGAATACTGAGTCGCTGTTGCAACGTGATATACGTTTCGACGACACAGCTTCTCCGTAAGCCGAAGACGCAATGTTTGTTCTCCAGGAGCTGATCAAGAGATCAGATAAACCCCGTAGTTTTGCCCCACCAGTTTCTGTCTCGATATATCTGCCTCACCTCAAATTCGCTTCTCACATCGTTGCCTCAATAGCCTGAGTTGCTTTTTATATGGTTGTCTATGTTCCCGGCCGTACTACAATATCCCCGTGATGATGAACATCCTCGGTGAACCAAACATTTGTTTAAAAGAGGATTTTATTTACAGAGCATTTCTAAGTTCTAGATTTCGGTGTTTGTGTGTGTATGTTTTTTTACGCAATACTGTTTTCTCTTTATTCTCTTTCTTGTTACTACTTCTCAGGACTTTGCACTCAGGATTCTCTTTTCCGTGATTTTTCCTCATTGTTCTCAGGACACTGTCTTCAGGAATTTTCTCTACTTCAGGGGGGTCCATGGACCCAGTAATTAACGATTCAGGCAGGTCTTTGGACCATGTATTTCCTTATTACTGTCGCTACCTCAGTTTCATCATAATCGCGGTTTATGTTCAAATTATTTTATGCTTGTGTCGCGCTTCTTGTATTATTGTACTTTTAGTTTAGAGCCGTTTATCAGTATGAAGGTTCAGTTGACTATTGAATATCCCGCCAATTGGAGACTGTCGATTGTAACTTATCAGAACTGTAAAACTTTTCTTTCTTTTTGTTCTTCCGTGGTCAAACTTCAAGATAGTAGCGTTATTTGACTGTTCTGAAACAGCACCTTGTCATATGTGGACCGTGTGCACACTGTACACTTTTCGCTTCATTAATCTTTAGTACCTTTGACAAATATCCTGTGAAATACTGTAATCCCGGCTCATCTATTGCTTTGCTGTCGGTGACTGCTTTTACTTATCGTTAATAAACATGTAAGAAAAAGTGATCTAAACCTCATTATGTTATGCTGTCTAGTTTTGAAATACAAGTTTTCAGTACAGCGATGAGACGGCACTTTCGCATTCAGAACAAAGAATGGAGGCATTTTATCTTTAAATGAAATGGATTCGGAGCGAAGAGCCTCCACGTCCAGTCAATGTGCTCGTTGTTCCTTCAAATGTTGCTTAGTTGACCTCTTTCTCACATAGCGTCGCACTTCATTGATGCTCAAGAATCCCCATCCGAAAACGTGGCTAGGGTCGTCTATACGTTCCGCTGCAGGTTGAGGATTTGTCGTCCCCCACATTCTTTGTAAAAGTAGTCCAGATTGGTTTCTCTATAATCACGAAATCACACTAGGATGTTCCTTTTCATGTCTTCACTATAGGCAGCTGCCTTCACTTGAGGATCGTAGCTTGCTGCCTTGCAGTTGGAAGTCCTTGATGGTAGCGAACCTTTAAAATGGTTGACTTGCAGATTAAGGACGATATGACAGATAAAGTCCTGCGTTACAATGTAAATGCTGAAATGCAGCCAAGATCGACATTCTGTTAACATCCCATTGATAAATAATTCGCTGTTTTCCTAGTTATCACACACGAGGCCGTTGGCTTTATTCTTTATTGACAAAAAACCGTTGTTTCGGCGGATTTGGCTCTTCTTCCGAGTCTAGAAGCATCCACTTGACTGCAATCTAACCAGTCAAACACTTCTATAACCAAAAGGGAAAACGTGAAACCAAGATTTCAGTCAAGACATTGAACACAGAATAGGTTCTTTGCACACTCACCACTTTCTACTAGTCTTCCAGTCTTCCGCTGATTATTCATTGTGGAGGAAGACCGTACAGAGCTCAAATGGAAGCTTAATGCACCTCTCTCATTAAAATATCAGTCTCAGATATTGTGTGAAATAGTGCGTGACAATGAAGCATTCTTCACTGCAGATCAATTTGAATTCTTGGAATTTATCCAGAATGCTTTGAGTTTTGATCGGCAAATTTTTCGGTTTCTGTGCGAGGATTACTTCAAAATCTTCCCCGTTATATCTCTATTTACTATGCGCACCTAGTGAAAGGCCTGGTTTCAATTTAAATTTACGGGCTAGATGCTCTTTTAAACCGACGCGGAATAGTCTACCCGTCTCACCAACGTGTTCGTCCCCATATGCTTTACGTTCAAATTAATCTATCTGAAAACGACTGCGTTACAAAATGGTATCCGAAGCCAAGTAGGAAAAACAGAGTGGTTCATCACCTCTCCTCTCACCACTCACACACTAAGAGGGCGTTTGTAAGAAATGTGATTCGAATAGTCTCCACTGTGCGAACAGAAAAAAAAGCAAAAAGAAGAATCCTTGAAATTAGTGCGGCAAATAGCTATCTCGAATGGCTACGAAACCGTTGCTCCTCGGAATAGGAAAAGAGGAAAAACCACGCCCCTAAACGATAATTCTAGAATTCTAATTCAAGAATAAAGTCCCATTTTTCCAACCCTTTATTTCCAATGGAATAAGTGCACCCATAGAACGTTGCTTAAAAACGTTCGATCTAGAGAATTCGGCAACAGTGATTGAAACACCAGCTAACACTCTCAGACACCTGCTGGTTTGTAAGTAGCCACTTGTACGACCGTCTATGCACAACGCAAAATTGCACAATTTGCCTTAACAGTAGAGGCTGTGATTGCATCAGTTTTGGTACGGTGTACCTAATCTTCTGTTAAGCGTCTGGGGACGGAAACAATGGCAAAATGAGTAGACCACTCTGGGTCCGTATAGCAAGTGCTCCACTGAGCTCGTATGGAAGATAGAGAAATAATGGAGAAAATTTTGAAGTATTCACATTCGTTGCACAGAAATCTAAAACATCACAGGGTAAAACTCTAGAATCGCTTTAGACAAATTCCAAAAACTCAAACCGAGCCATAAGAAGTGTCTTATGATCATGCGTAATCTAGCGCCATACCTCGCGCTGATTCTTTGACCCGAGCCAGGTGTATTCCTCGTCCATGTAATACTCTGTGCAACTGTTTTCCACCAGTTAAATGAAATACTTAAAGAGGATAGAAGGGTTAGTGGTTAAAAGAAACTGTTTATAATGCGAATGCAAATTTATGTGTCAAGCTTTACTTGCTAACGTTATGAAAGTGTCTGACTGAGAAGATTTCATGTCACTTTGACCTTTCCAGGCTCCGAAGACGGTTAAGTCGATGGAACTTCAGTTCTAGTGCGCTAATAAATTCTATAAAGCCAACCTCGTATTTGCTCAATGAAGAAGAACAGTGAATTATCAATCATTGTCGAGGTTAACAAAAAGTCTGTACTGGAATTTGCTACTTCATCTTGTTTACTTTTACGATTACCCTGTAAGCATTTTTAATACGGATACATAGTGGCCCACCACCTGCTTGGCCAATATATTCTTCTTGCACACTCTGCAAAAGATCAGGTACACCGTACCCGCACTCATGTAATAACCTTCTCTTCCGTTAGGGAATATTGTGCAATTTTTCGTTTTACACAGACGGTCATACAAGCGGTTACGAACGAACTGGTGTCGTAGACAGTCAGTGCTAATTTAGTAACGGTTATCACGTCTTGCAGACCCACCTTTGCGAAGTAACTTTTTGTGGCAGTGCTTTTCTGATTAAACATGAAGTGCACTGGGAAGCGACGACTTTATTCTTGCTAGAAATATGGCTTGAGGACATGGTTCTTCGTCCAAATTCATCCTGAGGGGTCCCGTTTCGGGGCCACTAATAATGGGTATTTGCCGCGTCACTTTCCAAGATTATTCCTTCTGCTCTGTTCCTGTGCAGGCCGAGCGGTGGCTGTTCGAAAAATGTTTTTTACAAGCGTCCCTTTTCGTGTGTGATGACTACGAATAAAAGTAATAAACCAATACGCTTTTGCTACTATGCTTTTTGCACTATTTGGTGAAGTAGCTGCAATTTCAGATAGGTTAATCTGAGCATTCAAAAGTGGAAACCACCTTTACTTCGGTTTCTCTCAGGTAAGGTCTTACTGGTAATGTACTCTGACTGTTGGTTCGAGAACACCAGATTTGTCTATCTCCTGCCGTGTGGAGTAGATAACGTAACAATCAGTTCATTTTTACGGTATAGCAGTGGCTGGAGATCATTCACTGGAGCTTCTATTTTAAGCATAAATGCAATGACGAGACTTCATGGTAATCGCTGCCTCATTGTCACCCTTTTCATTTTTGCGAAATATTTCCCGGATGAGCTGAAGAGTGTTTAGGCACTCCTTTAAAAGGGCCATGAGCTCCTGTGTTGGGAACTTTTATGTTTATTTTCCCTTCGCACTAGATAAGGAATTTGGAAGAACTCCATCGTGTACGCGCTGTTGGGAGACGCGTTACGTAGACTACCCAAGAATATTTGGCTATTTGTAAGATGGGCTGGGATGTGTTTTAGCAACTGGCAGTAGGGTTAAAACCATGTTATTTTACTCGCTGAACCGTCTGCACAAGTGATGATGAGTTTAACTTTGAACAAGGATTTTAATAAATAATCAGAAGACCGAACATGTTCGTAGTACAAGTTCAAGCTGACAAGTAACTGATAGCTTTAAATCTGGCCACTCTTATTACTTTGACTCATTTATTAGTCAAATCTGAAGTACACAAAAAATTTAACATTAGTATGGAAAACAAGCGTTTATCACACCTTTACAGCAATCGATCAGTAAACCTGCAAATTAAAGTTTTTTTCTGGCCACTCTAGTTTTATTACGAATGTTTCTTACCTTATCAAAATATGTAATAGCCAATTTACGAAGGGTCTAACCTGCCTCATATGTTACAGGTCATACCGTACTTTTCCTCTAGTATAATTATAAAAAAGTCTGTCAGTCGAATTGGTAGCTCTCCTGTTTTGTTGTTGAAACCCCGTTAGAGCCTAACTGATAACGCCGCTATCACTGATTAGCACTGTTGCACACCACACGTGGAGTCCACCTGGTCTTCCCGTATAGGGCCACATCCGATCTTCCGAAGCCGATACTTTGGACTTGGTCTTTTATTTACGTTGGCAAATAATGCTTCTAGCACACCCCCCTGTTGTTGCGCTTGACAACGAT